GCCTGCAACTACTCATGTCAATCAATAGTGGCTTCAAATATATATGTTAGAAGGGCTTTATTACTTTTCACCGACAGCCTAGAACCTGGTTGTCTTTCTCCTCTACGCTCACGTGTATTACTAAACCAGTAACGACGCAAGCTATGATCATTGTAAAGTTATTTATTAAACTGATATAATAAAGATGATACCATACAGTATATTCTCCATGTCTTGTCCACAGCGGGCACTCTTTTCATAGGACGATCTCTCTTCCGTCCCAAATCTCTTTGCTGGTTTCATTACTCTGAGGCTTGTTGACTCAGCTCAAACTGTCCACACAAGTACCAGTGTTTAAAGGAAAAATATCAAGCCAGCCTATTGGCTGCCACATTGGCAACTTTTAATGCCTTGAATTATTGACCTGAAAATGGTATAACTTGGTTGATCGGTACATTTGTTCTAGGTCAGTGAAATAAAGTACTGAAGCCAGGGGAGGTCCTTCAAGACAGCCAAGTCAACAGGCACTAGTCGGACAATTTCCCAATCTCAATGCATCTGAATGTGTCCGAATCTGAATTTCCGTTTCCACATTTTGGATCCCGTCTGAATTTCATTCAAAAACTAGATTGGATCGGGCATGTGACTTTTCTGGCCAATCAGATGTGTTTTTCGGTTTAATGGATCTGAATGTTGCCGTAAAGCAACAGTGGCTCCCATGTTGCCGTAAAGAAAATTTGTGTTCAGCATATACATATATTACTAAAGCTGAGGCTCCTAGGCCCGAATGGCATTCGGGAGCCTCAGCTTTAGTAATATATGTATATAGCTCCCAGACCTGAATTTCATTCAGGATCCGTATTTCTGAATTGCATTCCGGAGCTCCTGAATGCCTTTGGGGTCTGGGAGCCATATACATGTTATTAAAGCTAAGGCTCCCAGACCCGAATGGATCCCAAATGCCATTCGAGTCTGGGAGCCTCAGCTTTAGTAATATATGTATATGGCTCCCAGACCCCAATGGCATTGGGGAGCTCGTGAATGCCATTCGGGTCTGGGAGATTCAGCTTTAGTATTAATATCTGTAGATGGTTTTCTGTGGTATTCGTAATGAATATTCATAAACTAACGAAAACTCAGATTTAGACCGAATCCGAACCGAATTGAATTTTGGATCCGAAATAAGGAACTATCCGAACCAAAAATTCTACATGTCTAACAGTCACATTTCTTTAGTGGGAGCTCAGCAATGGCAGCCCTTCATATTTCTCTGTTTCTAAAAGTATTAGTGCATCTTGTAGTATTATCCTTTTCTCTTTTATAAGCATTTGTAAATAGCTGTCATATATCTTGAGGCATCTTTAGACTTAAAGGTTTAACCACCAAGACCCCCTTTAGAGAAATACATTGTGGCAATGTACAGCACTCATTAGAATTGCAGCCCATGGTGCAGGTCCGTTGCTCTGTGTTTGCAGCCCAACACACCCAAAGCAAATGAATGAGGTTGTCTGAACGCAAGTTAATGCTCATGGGGTAAAAGCAACACAATGGGGTGCAAAAAGTGTCAAAGGGGAACCTAAAAAGTATTTTCTCCATTTAAAAAAAAAAAAAAACCCTGATATGTATGAACTGAACAACAAAACCAAGCAAATTTGTTATTCATCAATAAAGCCTATCTAAACCCGAGAACACAAATTTGATATATGCTTGCCAGTCCGTAGATGTGGTGGCTGTATTAGTTTTTCTTTTTCAGGCTTCCTTTGCCTTTACGTTCACCTGGAGTCATGCCAGTTCCACATCTCCTGTCCTAGAGTGAAATCGCTCACTTGTGGTACTATACTGTATATCTATGAAGGAACCAGGGAAGGAAGACCTATCTACAGGTGAGGTGATCAGGTACCTGCAGCAGGTTTCCAGCAGGCTCGGACTGCACCCAGATGGGCAAACATCTCCCTTCAGAGTGTAGTATACCGGCCAAATGACAATGCAATGTCTCTAAAGCTGGCCATACACTTCACAACCCTCGCAAGACTTTTGTCTTGCGAGGGTTGTAAAGTAATTAAAAAAACGTACGATCTGCCCATCTTGGACAGGCAGATCGTACTTGCGATCATCGCAAGCCCGCCCCCCTGAGGGGCGGGCTTTCCGATGACTGCAATGCTGAACGCCTGGTTTTCCAACATGTTCTAAATACAAAAGTCGTGCAACCGTACAGTAGAAACGGTCGCACGCCTTCCATACACTGCACGATTATTCTAAGATCGCGGGATTTCCCGCGACTCGCGTACAATAATCGTGCAGTGTATGGGCATCTTAAGGAAGACAGTGCCGTCAAGAAGAGCTCTCAGCATCATCCAGTATAGGAACCAACACATTTGTTCTGTAACAGGGAGAACTTCCAAACCTTCCTGAAAGAGAAAATCCTCCAACTGGTTGAGTGATGTGCCATGGAGTCCAGGTCAGGAATCTGACTCACAATGGGATTCCCTGCTGAAGCAGGTGCCATCTCTTCTGGGACTCCAGAACTAAGCTCCAGAAATAGGGACATCCCAGTTAGTAGAGTACCCCCGGGCAGAGGGAAAAGAGCACTATATTCACCCAGAGAGACTGATGGGTCACATTTGGGACTTCTTAGTCCATAGAGACCATGTGGATATCTCACCCAGCGTATCGGTTTCCAGGAATAGAAGGGAAGGCTGAAAATGTTCAAGAGCCAACAAGAGAAGTGTAGGCTATGTTAGGGTGTATTCCCTCAACAACCTCCAAGCCCTAAAAGGGGAAATTTTCCTGACAGTTAAAAGGGTCCAAAGACTGTCAGGGTATAGACTTCTATAGCAAACTAAGGATCACCTGTTGGTAATCCATAGTTACTGACACTGAGCAGCTGTGAGGCCCTACCCAGTGGAAGCTTACAGGTGTTAGGCCCATCACAAAGGTTCTGGCTGCAAGGGTCAAGAAAAACAGATCCTCTTCAGGGAAGGCCTTCTGAGTATTCCACAACGGGGATGTCAGGTAAAAGCACTAGGTTGTGCATTAGGACATAGCAGGTACTCTTGAAGGACAAAGAGGGGCCAGGTCCTGGCTAGGAATAGGAGCAGTATATTGTGTACCAAGATGGCCACCCACACCAAGCACATGCTCTGAAAATTCGTCCCAATATGGTTACTGCGCAGCCTTTCCAGCAGTACCAATTTGGCCAACGCCATGCGCAGGCTGAGGACACCAGCAAATCTATAGGTGGCTGCAGCACTGCCTATGTGCCCATGGACTATTAGACAGCCAGAGGTCTGAGGAGGCACACGCCATAGGGAGAGCAGGACCCAGGGGGAAAGACAGGGAGAGTCCAAGATGCACCAACTGGCAGCATCTATTCAAACGAAGGGAAAACCCACCCCCCTTGGCTACACTCACTTTGGACAAGTATATCCCAGGATTCAATTAAGAAACATGGAGCAGCTCTATGCTCTCGTCTCCGATCCCGCTGCTTGAACCTCTATGCCTGGTAAAAGCTTCTGCCGGAGCCTTCACTGAGCAATAGGTGAAAACCCAGCACTCGCAAGGGGGTTCGTCCGTACAGTACTTTGCTGTTTTTATGCCCTTTTGCAAATAAAACAAATGCTTACATGTTTCAGCCCTTACACTGGGCCTTAGCTGCTAGTCGTGGTTACTACTAAGGTCCAGTTTGGGGGTTGGACGAGTGTTTTTTTCCTATATCCCCAGATGGGTCTGAAGGAAATGTGGGGACACGCTAGTGTGAATACCACTGCCCTAGACTTGTATTGCACCCTGCAGTTAATCCAACACACTGCACTACATGACAAGTTGTACATCGGCGTCTTGCGGCACTCCTTACCAGTATATAGGATGTTGCTTGAAATCCTGGTGGGTGCTCGTAGTGACCACGGATGGCACCGTGAAGATATACAAGTTTGCAAAAGGATTTCACTTAAAAAGGTGTGCCGGTGACATGTTTCTGCATATATGACAAGTTGAACGCCAAATGCAGGATCCAGTGCCTGAATCATTACAGGTTGGCCTTGCATTAGCTAGGTCTGGGCATGTTCACCGAAGCTGTTGCTGTGGGAAACCAATCCGTAAAGTTGGTGCGGTGCCCAGATGCAGCAGGAAACGTGAAGTTACGCAGTTATTCACCACCACTCGGAGAAGAGACCGATTACCCAAGGACTCTACCAAAACATGAGGACGTCTGAACAGGGAGGGTTTATACAAAGATCCTCAAAGCTCTGCAGTGTCCAATCACCAGATACCTGCATACTAACCAGCACTCTCTGAATCTGACTTTGTCCTGTACAATTAAGAAATGTTGTTCATCTTGAAGTTAAGCTTTAAAAAGGAGAATTATGAGGCGAGCGATTTTCACTGAGCCTCATAATCTGAGCCGACCTGTGACAATGAAACTGTCACAGGTCGGCTTTGAGCTGTAGCTTTGGGTGACGGGAGGACGCTAGTTTGTGTTCTCCCATGACCCTTAGGAGGAGTATGGAGAAAAGCCCTGACCCCATAGTTCTCCTTTAACATATCTGCATATCCCAATGTCAGTATTAGACCACAATGAATACCAGTTCAATGAAAATACACATTTATTGCCATTATTACATAAAGACACAATATGTTTATTAAACATAAAACCAGGGAGCAACATTCAATACAAAACTGATTAAAACAAAGTAACTTTACACTTAAAGTACCCTCTGAACAGGGTCAATTGCTATACAAATAAAACATTGCAACAATGCAGTCCAATGGGGTAATATACCTCCATCACACCTCTGTAAAACACTTTAAAAGTCTCTGGCTAGACAAAGCATGATACAATCTTGATGTATTTTAGGCATAAAAGTAGAGCTAAAAAAAAGTCTTTAAAGTTGCAGATAAGCTATAAAAGTCCTTATTAGAAGGTATAAAACTCTTGACTTGTAGGATACACTCTACTTGGAAGCTTTCTGCAATGAAGGAAAGATGTAAAGACATTCGGCCAGAGATCCATATTCAGGCCATTTCCTGGTCAAATCTGCCAATGTCCGTTAGATCAAGAATACAATATTATCTGAAACCATTATATGGTTCGCCTCCTCCATGAGCTCCAAAGCGGCCTTCACCTCGCCCTGCAAGAACGGCGATTCATTGTTCTTGTTGATGGAGTCCATGAGGGTTGGCATAGGGATGGATTGAGCGTGGGCAGATTTAAAGGCATCCAGAAGGGCGGCCTTGAAAGCCTTAAGCCTGCAAACAAAGCGGTAGAGTTTTAGCTACAGTCTGGATCGGACAGAAAGGGGAACACTGCTAGTGAATCAGATTTGTACAATGTGCCCTCTATTTTCCACCTGCGACATCATACTAGTGGCTGGTCACCAACAAAATATGTCTACCTTGATATTCAAAGAGTGTCTCAAAGTCAGCTAGATAACCTGAGTTTTATGACTTTTTCCTGAGTCAGAGACCTGCATATTCCAGATGGACTTCCCAACCCACAACCTGAACCTTCCCAGGCCCACAGCTAACCTTGGAGGCAAGATGAAGACATGGGAGAGCTGGTGGGGGCATCTAGTCCCCCCACCAGATCCTATGTCACTGCAGGATACAGGGGCCAGCATAGCGTATGAGATAGCGGGGACCATTATAAATTTTTAGAAGTGTTGAATGCTGAACCTATGTCAACAAGCTTTCCTCCCCACAGCAGAGTCTGGCAGCAATCCTGAAGTTTTGGGTTCTATTTAGACTTCAGCAGAAGATGTCAAATGATCAGATTGCTGTTCAGCAACAGGCAAGGTAATGATACCTTTACAGGTTATGGTTCCATGCAACAGTACACTATTGCAACAGGATCACTTCAAATCCCTGTAAATGGTCTCTGGAACTGCGTTTGTAGGCCCTCACACCTCCCATGTAAATAGGAGTACAGTACTTGGTGGGTCTTGTTAAAAGAGAACTATGAGGTGAGTGCTTTTCACTCACCTCATAGTTCTAGCCGACGTGTGACAATGAGTAGAATCAGTAGATCGGGAGGTGAGAAAACACATACTGGCGTTCGCTCACCTCTCTGCCGTGACAGGGGAGGGGCTGGATTCTCCCCTCCGATAGCGCTGACTGGCGGAACGGACAGGGGAGGGGGCGGGTACAACTGGCTCTGCCTCTAGATAGGCAGAGCTAGCTGTCAGTCACGCAGCTGGGCGGATCCCGGCATAATTGTCAGGATTCGCTTATGCTGCGGCGTCTCAGCTGTAGCTCGCGGTATACTGAGCCTAGGGTGACGGGAGGACGCTAGTTTGTGTCCCCCCTTTACCCTAAGGAGAACTATGGGGAAAAGCCTTAACCCCATAGTTCTCCTTTAAGAAGAACCCCATCAAAGGCGATACCTGGGAGGACTGTAAGCTGCTGATACCCGGAGGACCCCGAGCTGCCCAGACTCTGGTACTGAACTGTCCAAAAGAAGCCTCCAATGGCCCCCTGGCTCAGGCCTGACAGACCACTTGTGGTTGGAGTGACTCTTCAGCCAGAAATCGGGGAATTAATTGGTACAGATAAACGAGGCACCATCACTCACCTGTCTCCAGACAACCCGGCCTCTTTCTCCTTATCTGCAGGGGTAGCGGGTGCATGGGATGTAACTGTAGTGAGAAAATACATGAAGGGTTACTATTTACACTAACAAACCACAAGCAATGCTAAAATCAATGGAATACAAATTAAACGGAACCAACCATCAGGGGTCTCCTCTTCTGTGTCACTGAAGTCATAGGGGTCATGTGACTCTCCCTCAGCTGTGCTGGCTTTCCTGAAATACAAGTCAAAGTAGATAAATCACAGGTAACCGGTTGGCTTTAATTTAGTGGTCCACTAGCAATGTGGCTTTGCAAACTTAAAAAAGGTGAACGAGGTATAAATCCACACACACTGCAGATGATATAATGTCACCAACCTTTTCTTCCTGGTCCTCCTCTCAGTCGGCGCCTCTTCCTCCTCTGTATCCGAACCCTCATCTTTCTTCTTCCGCTTCTTCTCCTTCTCCAGAACCTGAAAAGGAGACAAAAAGATTACACCACTAGAATCCTAGTAATTGGACACCCCCACACTATAACACCCCCTAGAGAGCCCAATGCAGCCCCCCGCCCTCCATGTTCTAGAAGTTTCATTAGTGTGCATTTCAAGAAAGGTTTGCCAGTATTTTTGATGGGACTTTCCACGTTTCCTGACTGCAATGCATCTACAGGATTGTGGATTGCCACCTATCGGCTTGCGGAAATTGTAATAGGCAAACCTTGCTCAGCGATTGTGGAGACTAGACCTATAATAAAAGAATACCCCCCCAAAATGTATAATATCATAAAATATAAACCACATTCAATGGCCCACTTGGTCTTATTCGATCCATCACTCATAGTGACTGTTGCACATATCAGAAAATGGCGGGCTGGTTCACTGTATGCACAACTACATTGTACTACCAAGAAAAAAAAGTGGCTTCTAGAAAATGCAGCACTAGTATGGCCTACAAAAAGGTATTGCTGATAAAGATGGAACCGGACAGCGGCACTAAGGGGGACAGCGGCGAATGACCTGCACACCATACAGCGCTTGAACCAAACGAAATGTCCGTTGGTGCTCGAAGCGACGACACGGATGGCGCCGTGCTACAGTCCAAGCAAAGAAAGAAGTCACCAGCACTCACTTGTAATGTGCAAAAAGGATAGCACTTTTATGGATGCGTCAAGAAGCCAACGTTTCGCGAACCCAAATGGGTGGTTACTCACCGGGGTGCCAGTGTGAAATGCCAGATAATCCAAATAGCGTTAGAGAATCACCTGCACACCATGCAGCGCTTGAACCAAACAAAAGGTCCATTGGCGCTCGGAGTGACAACACGGATGGCGCCGTGCTACAGTCCAAGATAGAAGTCACCAGCACTCAAGATGGGCACGATGTCGCCCTGATGAAGGGACCCTGCACTGCTCCGAAACGTTGGCTTCTTGATGCATGTGACACATCAATAAAAGTGCTATCCTTTTTGCACATTACAAGTGAGCGCTGGTGACTTCTATCTTTACCGGCACTAAGCTGAAGCATGCAGGAGTAAGAAAGGGTTACATTGAGCTGGCCACAATTTTTTCCTTCGAGTGTCCAAACCCTACTGAAGGTGGCAGCATAAGCCGACAGACAGAATTTCTGTGCCCCTCGCTTTGAGCCCTGCAATGGCAGTCTACATAATCCTGTCATGACCGGTGCACTTCAATGCAACCAGCACCCTCACCTTTTTGAAATAGGCATACTGGACAAGCTCCACGGCAGCCTCGGCATCCTGCAGCTGAACAGTCTTGCTCATCCTCACTTTGGCGTGAGCCGTGGACAGACGGATCAGAGTCTCCAGACTACGAGCAGTCACAGGGGACGTCTGGAAGCGAAAGCAGAATACAATTAATTTGTACTTACTACCCTACGATGAGAACTGACCGGCAGCTAGGAAGCTCCCCAGCTCAAGGCCAACATTTTCAGCAAGCGGCAATAATGCTTCCTGCCACATTCTGCAACCTTGGGACTCACCCGTGCCACATCGGTGCTCATCTGATCCTGGTTTCTCAGGCGGGAATACTCTTCGGCTATGTAATTGGCGGCCTCTGACGTGAGTATGGGTTTGAACAGCTTCGCCACATGGATGTATTTCCGCATGAACTCCTTGCTAACCGTCTTCTCTCTGCATGGGATAGACACAATATTAAGACATGAGACAACTGCGATCGGGGATGGGGGTGACTGGCAGAATAAAGCTTCATCTGCCAATTTATTGCAGTCACAACATAAAGTTGCTTTAACGTGGACCTTCCACCTCAGCAGCATCCTCCACATACTCAATCTGCCCCCCAGTGCCTTCCTAAACATTGCATAAAAGTACCCTTTGGGGGTTGGAAACAGTTAAATACTTCCACCTTAATCCAGCTTCCGCCCACAGCCACTAGGTGACGATAACCAATCTGATTACCGCCAGATTTCGGAGAATGTTGAGCAGCCCAAATCTCTCAGTAACAGGATCCTGCGCTGCTCTGCAGAGTCTTCTCGTGAGATTTGGGCTACTCATTGTTCCCAAGTATCTTGTTGGCAGGAGGACCCAGTTATCTTGTTGGCAGGAGGATGACTTCCATCACGGCACTAAACTCAACAGGCACTTTTGCAGCATTTTAGGAAGGGACAGGGGGCCATATTAAATAAGTAGGTTTTGCCGAGAAAGACTCAATCTAAGGCTAGGTCAGCAATGGACAACCCAACTCTTGTATATGAACGCTTCTATACACTAGGGATGCACAGATAACATCGCCCAAATGTTCCCGATAGCAGAACTTGCAGTATCAGGAAGTCGGGCGGCAAATCTTTACCCGCCCCTCGGATTCCTGATTGGCCAGAAAGCCCACTCCATGCTTCCACGTCTCATGGTGATAAAGGAGCATGGAGACGGCTTCCCAGCTAATCAGTACACTAAGCGGCGAGTCATTACAAGCCGTCTGGCTTTCTTAAATGGGACTTCCTGTATCGGTGAGTACCGAAAAATAAATATCGGTACTCATACTGAACACCGAAAAAACGGTATCAGTGCATCCCTACTACCATATGGTGATCAGGGCAATCAGGGGTGCCGTAACTTTCCAAGAGCAATTTGCTAGCCAATCGCTGGCCAGAATGAGCGAAGCGCGCTTTCACTATCGATTCCTCACAGGCGGAGTCCATTTGGTATCACTCCGCCTGTGACAGGAGCCGGCGCTATAGAGGAAGCATGGGCTTATGCTGCTCTGCTCCCTCCGGTGCCGCCTCGCTTCCTCTAGCGCTGGCTTCATTGGCACCGCTGATTTTCTGCCTCTCCCGCGGCTCTTCAAGTTCCCCCTTATGCCACCACCGGCCCTGGGAATGGTCACAACTAGGTCTTATTTTCGGGAAAACGGGGTATATACCCTACAATATTCCAGAAGCAGACTGGGTTGTTTTTTTTGAGTAAGCTTGTCAAAGAACTAAGAACATGACAAAGCACCAGATAACAGTGACAACAAAATTAGACTCATGAGCAAGGTATCTAAAGCATGATAGCCAGGTCTGAACTCCTCAAAGCCAAGCTTAGACCCACCACCTCTGGAGCTTCCCTATTGGCCATTCAGTCCGCCAACCACATTGAAAGGACCAACAGAGAGGCTTGAGAAGGGGAAAGGTAATTCTAGACTTGAGTTCTGATTTACACACATCACCTTCTAAGACCTCAGATCTACTAATGGTTTTGATGTGCAATTGTTACGGAAGGCGATGCCTTCCGTAACAATTGGAGCAGGTTTACTTTAGGACTAAGGCTTTCATGGACTGGTTTACTTTAGGTCCGGGGCCATCACGTAGGGGTTCACAGTCTGAAGGAGGGACACTTACCTCTTTTTCTTGACTCCATGTAGAAGGCTGTCATGTTTCTCATACACTTGCAGTTCTTGCTGCTCCTCATGGGTTACATTGGGGTCTTCAGTAGCCAGGATATCGACAGAGCTGCCCAACGGCATGGCTAGAAAATGAGAAATTAAGGATTAACAAATCTTTACAAATCTTACCCAGAACTAGGTAAATCAGAGCCTGCATATGAATGGTAGCAGGGATACGTAGTTAAAACATGGCTGTACCTTCTGCAATGTATGACTCAATTGACAAGTTATGGTGCAACATGAATTTAAACATCGCATAGAAAACAGTCCCATATGAGCTGTAATGTCTCCCACAGCAGAACACAAGCATAGCACCCAGTAGGAAACAAGTGAAAAGTGTAAGCTAGCCAGACAAAAAACTGGTAGACAAGGAGTTACAGTGCACTCTGCCATTACCCCACAGTGCTGAGACATGAAGGTCACCATCATCTGCCCGAGTCCATCTACAATGTCCCTCTGTACCCCAGGCTGGTCACAAAAATTGCAGAGCGCCGAATGCTATTAATAGCACCTGCCGGCCAAACACAGAAAGGAGGCCACCTAAAATCAAGTACCTCTCACTGACTGAGCCGACAGATGATTGCTTTTTTGTCATGATGGCGACCCAGTGACCAGGAATTCACAAAATATATATATACCCCGTTTCCCCGAAAATAAGACCTAGTACTATTTTACCTAGTTGTGACCATTCCCAGGGCCGGTGGTGGCATAAGGGGGAACTTGAACGAGAATCAGCGTGCCAACGAAGCCAGCGCGAGAGGAAGCGAGGCGGCACCGGAGGGAGCAGAGCCGCATAAGCCGATGCTTCCTCTATAGCGCCGGCTCCTGTCACAGGCGGAGTGATACCAAATGCACTCAGCGTGTGAGTAATCGATAGTGAAAGCGCGCTTCGCTCAATCTGGCCAGCGATTGGTTAGCAAATTGCTCTTGGAAAGGTACGGCATATTTTTGTACAAAAATACATGTAGACTTTTCTACATGAACACAATAGAACACTCACCATCGCCATCCTGTTCTCCTGCAGCTCTATATCGGTGCATACGCAGAACGTGATCAGAGATCTCCCGGTCCTGTTCTGGGTCCATCTGGTCCAGCATGATGAACAGCAGATCGAAACGAGACAAGAGGGAGTCCTGGAGGCCAATGTTCTCCATGGGAGTTTTGTACTGGTCATACTGGAATATAGATTAGAACCATTAGGTCACCTTACTCCACCCTAAAGCCAATGTTGCTTTTGGCATAGCCACTGACACACTACATTTCACACACAAGCGAGGTATCCTTATCATAATTCACAATACCACTTATTACTATTACAATGCCGCATGATCAACAATGGACAAAGTACGGATGCTTTAGGGCTCATGCATACGTCAATAGCTAGCCACATAGCATACAATGCGGTCATATTTTCTCCAGCGGAGTGACAGGTGCACTGTACAGCAATTGCCAATCAGCTTATAGAATTAAGTGGTGGGCAGCGGCATATACATACAAATCTGAGCAAGCTTCATGCAAACAGGGTCATACGCACTTCCCTGAATGCAAAAAGTCTACATCTGGGAAAGCACACGCAGCCCTGCATGCATGTGCCGGCTGTATTCACTTATATTTGCATGCAGGCACTGCCTGCTATTGATAACTTGCGGCTGCTATATGTTATCACCCCAGGTAGAGAAAAAAAAAAAATACAATACGTATTGTGTGCTTTATGGGCATTGAATTTCATTGATTAGAAAAAGATTAAAATGCATGTTCTGGTCAGCATCTCCAACGGGCATTAGATGCAAAGTTCCAGCACAGGTCAACATATACATACACCGCACTTTAGAACGGCAGGGGCACTCACCCTTCCATAGACCGGATTGGCTGCAGCCAACACACTGCAGCGGGCGTTCAGTCTGGCATGAATACCGGCTTTGGCGATGGTGACACGACCCTGCTCCATGACCTCATGGATGGCTGTGCGGTCCAGGTCGGACATTTTGTCAAACTCGTCGATGCAGACCACACCGCGGTCAGCCAGCACCATGGCACCGGCCTCCAGTCTTCTCTCCCCTAGAAAAAGAATATATGATATACCATTGACACACAACATGCCAGATGATCAGAGCCGACCATCGATGTCCAACAAATGTTAGTGATACAGAAATGATTGCAATCTGGTAGCTAACTTGGACTAAGCAAGTGAAATTGCCAGACAATTTAGCCAATGTCCCACTCGACAGGTAGCCTTCAGAGCGCAAGCTGTCATACTACAAAGCATGCAAATGAAAAATGCTGGAAGTGTGGGGCTTCTTTGTAGTATTTTAAAGAGACCCTGTCACCAGACCATTCATTTCAAAAATCTACCTACAAGAGATGTTCATTTAACATGTTATTTATCTATTATAAGCCTCCCTTGTGTGGACAGCCAAAAGCCCAGAGACTGCTGCTGGGTGCCACAGCTCCAACAGACTCAGTCAAGTGCGTCAATAAAAAACATTAACCCATTGTGGTGGCCATAACTAATGGGATGCCTTAACGCAGTGCATGTCAGCATTTGCCGTCACATGCATTAAGGCACTAATGCCTAAATGTGAATAGGCCTTCCATGTGTTGCAGGATTCACTTGTCATTGTTCATGTCAAATCCAGTGAAAAAAAAAAAGAGCGGGCCAGGGACAGTCATGTTGAGGGTAGGGCTAGAATATCCTCCAGCCAGGAAATGAGGCGGAGCTCTGTCTGACTTGCTGCAGCTACTAATGCTAAGCAAGTGAAATTGCCAGACAATTTAGCCAATGTCCCACTCGACAGGTAGCCTTCAGAGCGCAAGCTGTCATACTACAAAGCATGCAAATGAAAAATGCTGGAAGTGTGGGGCTTCTTTGTAGTATTTTAAAGAGACCCTGTCACCAGACCATTCATTTCAAAAATCTACCTACAAGAGATGTTCATTTAACATGTTATTTATCTATTATAAGCCTCCCTTGTGTGGACAGCCAAAAGCCCAGAGACTGCTGCTGGGTGCCACAGCTCCAACAGACTCAGTCAAGTGCGTCAATAAAAAACATTAACCCATTGTGGTGGCCATAACTAATGGGATGCCTTAACGCAGTGCATGTCAGCATTTGCCGTCACATGCATTAAGGCACTAATGCCTAAATGTGAATAGGCCTTCCATGTGTTGCAGGATTCACTTGTCATTGTTCATGTCAAATCCAGTGAAAAAAAAAAAGAGCGGGCCAGGGACAGTCATGTTGAGGGTAGGGCTAGAATATCCTCCAGCCAGGAAATGAGGCGGAGCTCTGTCTGACTTGCTGCAGCTACTAATGCACATTGTGAGAAGCTCCCAGTGTGCAGTGATATCAGAGTTTCAGTCCAGGAGAGGAGTCGGTACAACCGTGTAAGACTGAAGGGAAGGCCGGAGTTCATATATACTATCCACCTCAATGAGCCTTTACTTCCGTACATTTATAATACCAGACTAGGGATGCAACGACACCGGTATTTTTGGTACCGAGTACCGATCATTTTTTTCAGTACTCGCCAATACCAATAACTGAGTAACGGAAGTCCCATTCAGGAAGCCAGGTGGCGTGTAATGACTCGCCACCCGGGTTCCCGATTAACAAGACAGTCTGTCCCCTCTCACCTCAGCATGCCAAGCCTTTCACCCCCGGGGCCTCTCCAGCCAGGAGCAGCCTTCCTCCGGTACCCAGCCGGAGCCGTCTTGCTGGCCAATCATGGAAGCTGGGCGCTGTGTAATGACACGGCTCCCCTGCTTTCTGATTGGCAGGGAGGCCGGCTCCATGCTCCCTCGTCATGGGATGACAAGGGAGCATGGAACCGGCTTCCCGGCCATCAGGAAGCCGGGCATCGCATCATTACACGGCGCCCTGATTGGCCGGGAAGTCTGTTCCATGCTCTCTCATCACTAGTGACGAGAGAGCATGGAGCCACTTCCTGGCTAATCAGGAAACCGGGCAGCGTGTAATGACACGCTGCCCGGCTTCCTGATACAGGAAGTATCGGAGCATATGGGTGAGTATGAGTACTCGCCCAAATACTAGGTAACGGCACCGGTATCAATACTTGTATCGGTGCATCCCTATACCAGACTAAAAGCTTTATAACTGCTAAACTTACCAGTCTCCTGGTCAGTGGTGACGGCAGCAGTCAAACCCACCCCGGAGGAGCCTCTTCCAGTGGTTGTGATAGCGCGGGGAGCCGTAGAAAGCACATATCGCAGAAGCTGCGACTTGGCCACAGAGGGGTCACCTAAAACAAAATAAGAATGTCCCATTAGGTCAGTGCACAGACGATGCAACGAAAAATAAATAAATGTGTGATTGCCAGTACTGTGATTGTATATGGAAGAGAGGTTCTGATTACTTATTAAAAACAATCAGATCCTATATATGGGCCCCCATGCTACAACTAAAAAGGGAAAAAACAGGAAATATTGTTATTGTCGCATGCTTTTAAATAAGGAACCCACAATAAAGACCCGTCCCAAGCACAGTGCACTAGAGAACACATATATGCTTTATTGGAATTTCTATCGGGTTGTTATGGAGAATCTCCTTAGCACGGTGATAGCAGTGACATGGCAAAGGACCCAAGGATGCTGGTAGGCATGGTCCATCCTCATGCCACAGGGGAAGTCCGCTGGCTACTGAAGGCTGCCACACCTCCAAAAAGGTAACACTGGGGAGGACTCAGCCTGGCCAAATATCAGTAAGGGAGGGTTTAAGAAGAGCATCTGTGCCCACAGGAATAGTTCTTTCTCGGGTGGAGAGCAGATCTTATGAAAAACGGAGGTGATTGGGAGGAAGCGTCACAACTAGGATAACAAACATTCCTAGGCCCTCAGGGGTAGGGTCCTCCTTACCATCTTGTCTTGAATTGTAATGTCTTCCTTATATTGTAAAGCGCTGCGCAAACTGTTGGCGCTACATAAATACTATGTAATAATAATAATAATAATAGACATAAAATGCCCAGAGATGCAACTCCACAAGGTTGACTGTCCTAGAAATCATCAGGGAGCCAATACCAGAAGGCCCCTGCAGCTTGTACGAAGGCCTGAGATAAATGTCCTTGTTACCAGAGGAACATGACTTCTATCCCAAGGTGGCTGCATGGCTACTGAGGTTACCACGTGCCTAATAAAAGGAGGTGACTACATTCATCCTAATCATTGTGGATGAGGCGTTTATGGTTTTAGGTGGGCAAAGCCTCATGTGCTGTCCTGGAAGAGGACTAGGGATAAAACTCTTTAGAATGGAGCTAGTAGGGCACAACTATCTGTGGCATTCCAATGGCAATAAAGACCCATTGTAGGCTCACTTCCTGCCACCCCTTCCAAAGTGAGAACCTGCTATTGAAGGTGAAGGCAAATCTGTATCCTGTACACTAGTCCTAAAGAAAACAAGAAATGCAAAATGCCGTACCTATTAGCAGGACGTTTATGTCTCCTCTGATGCGGGTGCCGTTTTCCAGCAGCTTTTCCACACCGCCAAGCAACATGCAGAGGATGGCTTTCTTGATGTACTGGTGCCCATGTATGTGATATTACTGCTGGATTTACAAAGTCATGCAAGACAGCCAGTGGGCAACTAGACTTTTCCACCGCCATAAGAATGAAGACGGACCAACTCTAACAGAAATTGAGGCTTAAAGTTCTTAAAGTAGACCTGAACTGAAAAAAGGTAAAAAAATACCCTGAAAATATACCTTTGGTCTGGATTTCCTTTCAGGTGTTTTTCCAGAACGAGGCATGGCCGCCTCCACACAGACACGGTGCACAATGAGGCATGGCCGCCTCCATACAGACAGTGCAGAAAGAGGCATGGCCGCCTCCACACAGACACGGTGCACAATGAGGCATGGCCGCCTCCATACAGACACAGGGCAGAAAGAGGCATGGCCGCCTCCACACAGACACGGTGCACAATGAGACATGGCCGCCTCCATACAGACACGGGGCACAACGAGACATGGCCGCCTCCATACAGACACGGGGCACAACGAGACATGGCCGCCTCCATACAGACACGGGGCACAACGAGACATGGCCGCCTCCATACAGACACGGGGCACAACGAGACATGGCCGCCTCCATACAGACACGGGGCACAACGAGACATGGCCGCCTCCATACAGACACGGGGCACAACGAGACATGGCCGCCTCCATACAGACACGGGGCACAACGAGACATGGCCGCCTCCATACAGACACGGGGCACAACGAGACATGGCCGCCTCCATACAGACACGGGGCACAACGAGACATGGCCGCCTCCATACAGACACGGGGCACAACGAGACATGGCCGCCTCCATACAGACACGGGGCAGAACGCGGCATGGCCGCCTCCACACAGGCACGGGGCACAATGAGGCATGGTCGCCTCCACACAGACACGGTGCACAATGAGACATGGCCGCCTCCATACATACACGGGGCAGAACGAGGCATGGCCGCCTCCACACATACACGGGGCAGAACGAGGCATGGCCGCCTCCACACAGGCACGGTGCACAATGAGGCATGGCCGCCTCCATACAGACACGGTGCACAATAAAAAGGCATGGTAAGTCAGTAATGGGAAAAGGTCAGTTGCAGGGTAAGCCCCCACCCCACAAATACTGCTGACCAGGCCTCTGTCCTTTCTTGAGCATAGATTCCAGAGTTCAGTTCCTGGAACAGGCTACAAAAGGGTCCCGATGTCTGACTATGCATATAATGAACTTGTCATCACATGTATTAAACACACATGCTCAGAGGTTCAATAGAAACATATGTAGCTATGTCACAATGCCATCACAAGTACCTTCGAGTGAGTTTTACTGAATTTCTTGATCTTAGCCAAGTCATCTGCCGAAAATACCGGTGACACTTCCTTGCTCATCTGAATCACGTTGCAAGCTATCAAAATTGTCCTGCAGATAAGAAAAGCAGACAATTAGAAAGAAATGGAATCGTTTATGTGCACAATAAATCAACACAAAGTGTGATGTGAAGTGCGCATGTAATACCTTGACTTGCCCCATCATCACTTGGGCTATTTGAGGGCATTTGGTCCAGGTTTGGTGGGGTTGGCAGGCTCCTGTAAATGTCCCAGCATCCTGCCTCAAGTGTACGAAACACATACCCAGCATCCCTTTATACATGAATGCTCCTCCTTGTTGGCCACTGCAGACTTTAGCTGGGCAATCTGCTGATCAATAGCTTGATTACCTTTGTAATTACCCGAGGGGTTCTTTCATATAATGGGTGAGAGGGGCAGCACAGTGACTGACACCATGCCTTAAAAGCACACCCATATATGACAGAGCAAAACTGATGGCAGAGGAACAGCTGTAGGAGGTGGGCCAACAACAGTATGGATGGAGGAGAGGGTGTTAAGTCGGTCAGGTGGTAAATAAAGATCACCATGACTGCTGCAGTATCAAAGGGTTGTATTGTGGAGTTGCAAGTTTGCAGGAACTGGGTAACATGGGAGGACTTGCGACAAGTGTGGAGAGAGAGAGAGAGAGAGAGAGAGAGAGAGAGAGAGAGAGAGAGAGAGAGAGAGAGAAAGAAAGAAAGAGAAAGG